AGGACCTATGCTACCGTTTTTACTTAAAGTTACCCACACCCCTTAGAAACATAGACTCTCTAACAAAAGTATTTTTTTCTGTTTAAAGGATTTTATATTGGATTATAAGACTGGCCCTTCCGTACAATATTTGAAGGGGGGAGTTCTAATTTGTGAGATCAAAAGTCAACAAATATTCTGTGAAGCACAATTAGAATGCAAAATATACTGATACTACGGGGACCTGGGACATCCTCCCCAGAAAATTTTTAAAAATAGGTGCTATGAGATTAAATCTGCAAGCAATGTTGCATAAAATCCACAAACATCCAATGAAAAAGCCAACAAATCATAATTCTGTTGTAACACTACATGGAGAGCTAGACTTGAATTACCATAAATATGTATGATTTATTATAGTAAAGTATTGAACTATCTACAAGCAGAGTAGTTATTAATGGTTAAATTATATTAGTAATTTAAACAACCCTGTGAGTTTAGCGATAACGAGCGTCTAGTGGTGATTTTTGAGTGAAATTATCACAGATTGTATTGAAATAACAAAGTAGAGAAGAAATAATTCGTCTTATCAATTGTGTTCTAAAGTAATTGAACCAACCTGTGTGGACTTTGACGAAAAAAAGAGACAAATTGTGTTGGTAGTTTTAACCAATAGCAAGTGAATCAGTTTGAGTTATTTTATCTATAGTGGCCTAGTGTTTTTTGTTAGTACAGGATAACTATTATCGCAGCTTTGTCGAAATAAGCTACTTTAATACCAAATTATATAACTTAAGAACATTAATTCAGATTTAGAATTTTCATCCAATACACGCAAAGACTATGTACACATAGCTATTCCTAATTTTAAACTCATAGATTAGAGGACAGACTAGTAGTCAGCAATACCTACTTCTACAAAAGCTATGTCTAGCTCTTTGAATTGAATAACAGATTGACTGCAATTTTATAACTTTCCCACAGCTAAAAGTGCGGAACATGCTCAGTGGCATCACGTCTTGATCCACCCTATCATCTGCAGCTCGGAACGCTAATCATAAGGCCACACCCAACCTAGTTATGAAACACCCTCTAATATGATACACTGTTAGCTTTTACCGTAACATAGAATGTAAAATGAAAGCTCAATTGATAATTTGTTTCCGATATTAGTGCAAAGCTGCACAAGGGCTATCATTGCCAGCCTTCCCTAATTTTGAACTGATAAACTAGAGGGAAGACAGCTAGTCAACAACATCCATCGTTAACACTTAGGCTACTCTAATAGAATAGTTGGATTTGACTGTCACTCTTATAACGCACCCATGATTCCAAATTGCGGAAAGGGATCTTTCGACAACGGGATGCAAACCACAGAACCTCGTATTTACAAATCTGTATGCTAAAAATCATTCTAACATGGAATTTTCAGACATGACTTGCTATCAAGTGAGGGCCCATGTGTAGCCTAGTGCTTAGCATGCTCGACTGTAAATCCAAGAATCTGTGGTTTGCATCCCATTGTGTGTGACCTAATGGTTAGCATACAGATTTGTAAATACGAGGTTCTGTGGTTTGCATCCCATTGTGTGTGACCTAATGGTTAGCATACAGATTTGTAAATCCAAGGATCTGTGGTTTGCATCCCATTGTGTATGACCTAATAGTTAGCATACAGATTTGTAAATACGAGGTTCTGTGGTTTGCATCCCATTGTGTGTGAACTAATGGTATATAATATATACTCGTTGAGGACATTGTTAGAATACAGGGTAGATACATTATTAGATTTATGACGTTAAGGACATTGTTAGAAACAGAGTAGATATATCATTATATTTATGACGTTAGAGACTTTGTTAGAAAATCGAGCTGATACATTATTAGATTTAGTTGGAATCAAAGCAATTCAGTTAACAAACAGAAGTATCATATGTATTCCCTAATAACTATTGTAATTTAGGCTGCTCAAACAGCTCTAGGGAGAAAGAGAAAGAAAAAAAGGTGGTGTAGGAATGAAAGGCTCTCAAGAACTTGCCAATAAGTGTAAGATCGACATATTCAAATACTTGATATAACAATAATAATAGTGATGCTGCTCTCCCTTCTGGCGACCACAGCTGTTCAAATAGATAATTTATTCTAATAACTTTAAAGTAAATATCAGTACTAGAATCTTAAAACTGCATAACCTTAAAAGTAATTATTATTTGCATGTTTGTTTTCATCTACCACTCTTCAGTTACCATTTTTGTGCTTGTAGTCTATTAAATACAATCTGTCCGTTTCTGAAAGTTTTACTTCTTTAAGAAAAGTTTTTGGTAGTTTTGTAATTACTCTAAACACAAATAGTTCTTTTCTATTTTGGTATCTTGAAACAAATATTAGCGTTTTTATTTTTTTTAGGTCTGGGTTTATATTAATACTTTATCTGTATGATGAATAATCATGTTGGTAAGCCTGTTCTTACCAGCATTCTAAGCCTATTCAGATATGTGAAGAGAAGTAGAATGCAATTGAAATGAAATTTTTGAAAGTGATCTTAACCAATATTGATGTAAAAATAACAAGTAATTAATCTTAATACTGGTTGTAGTTTGCTTCATTTCATATATTAAAGTCTATATAACTTCAGGGTTCTGACTACAGGGGACGCTACATATTAATACTAAAAATAATAGTAATGCTTAACAGATTACTGGTAACGTACGTTTTAATTGTTTATGATGATTATTGTGTGTGTATATATATATATGTGTGTGTGTGTGTGTGTGTGTATATATAATTGGTTATTACCTTACGGTGTGAATTTATGATGAATATTTCCAACTACGGCTTCTTTTTTCCAAAATAAACATAACGCGTTTAAAACCATAGAAAAAAATTCTTATATACTTTGTAATTGGTTTCAATTATATCACTTAAATGTTTGTGTGGGATTAGAGCATTGAGAAATTTAACTCGTATGATATTCTCTTTTTAATTAGCTTGAGAACAGTAGAACATGAGCGTTATTGATACTGAGGGTGGGTTCAGAATTATAGCAGTTACCACAAAGCAGATTTTACTTCCCACATTGCCAATTGAACGTGTGAGTGACCATTTAGCTCAGATCTGTCTTGTTGAAACATGGTGACTGAAGTGTGAGCGAAAGTGGTTTCCGGCATTTTGTTGAATAAATTTGTACATAGACTGCAAGAGGATGTAGAATTGGCTAATATATCAAATATCATAAAATTGAATTTGACTACAAGTGTTGTTCTGTTTATTTATAATTAGTTTTTCGTTCACTAAACTAAAATACTTGCTAGTTTTATATAATAATCAATATATTTTTTATTACTTATGCCATTTCTTCTTATAATTAACAGGCACCGATGTGGTACTCATAAATGTGTGTTTTAGTGGTGTTTATTTAAGCATGATGAGTTTAATTGTTGTTGTTCTGAGTCAGATATTGGGAGATATATGCCGTTAGATGAAGAGTTCAGACTTCAAACACTTTTTCGGTCTCTCTACATGATTTTATAAATACAGAAGCTTCGGAACCAGGGGTGTTGTAGCATGTTTAACTTATATAGCAACTGTAAATTAAATTATATTAATTTTCTGGAGGCATATCCCCAGAACCCCTTAGATTGAGCTACCTTTGGTAGCACAGGAGCTGCTTTTAGCAATTCCTTATACTTTCAATCTTTCATTGTAAAACCTACATGTCTAGCCAAGCACCCTAATTTACAACTCCTTCCTTCACCACTGAAATGCATAGTGACATTTTCAGACCACAGTAAGTTGACATATATATATATCAGTATGAAAACGACCATAAAACTTCAGAACGCATTTTATATATACTAAAGCAAAACATTGAGTAAATATTAAAAAAAAAATCCTTAAATCTTAAGGTCGTTTTCGCAATGTTTATTATGTCTCATCACTTCAGTTAGCATTTTTTTTTAATTCCTGTAAACTCCCAGTGGAGCATAGGGCCGTAACAACACCTCACCAACGGAGAGTTGTTGTTGCAGTTACTTGTAGCAAGTTGGTTTTTTTTTGCTAGCCCCGCACCCAACCCTCCTCCTTTCTCAGGCAAAGGCGGAGGTTTACATGTTTGGTGTGACGGGGATTCGAACCCTCGACCCTCAGGTTACGAGTCGAGCGCCCTAACCACCTGGCCATGCCTTCAGTTAGCATTACCGAAGTTAAACATAAATATTCTTAATAATTAAAGGCTGACATTCTCCTGATATGGTGTTCCACAATTTACATTTTTCAGTAGAATCTTGTTACATATGTAAAAAACTGACTTTTGAATTGTGTAACTGAAAAAACTAAAAACAAAATATTGAAAATTTAAGGTCGTTTGTAACCAAACATTTGTCTTTATAAACGCAATAACTGGCATTATAGCTGGTGAAAGGGAATATAAAACTACTAAGCCATTATAGACATTTTCAAACAATATTGCATCAATATTCTCATGAAAGTGGTGCCATAAATGATGCAACATGTTGCCAAATAATCATTCTGTCCGTGTATGGACTTCAGAGTTTTCCATTCATGATTTTACAAGTGAGAACTCATTTCAGAGTAAAATCAGCAAATACTAAGATATATGGTAAATTTTCTTTATAACAGTTTTTTTTTACTGCAGCAAAGCTTAACCAACATCTGTCAGACCTTCCATTCTGATGACGAATCAAGACTTTTATGCAACAGTAATGTCACTCTCAACGACTTGTACTACTTTGAACCATAACTTCAGAAAAGTTCTAATGGTCTAACGTCATGCATAATTTACTATTTAAGCATAAGTGAGAAATCGTATGTACCTCTAATGATTTCTTACCTTTCATCTTGAAAATGTTTTTACATATACCTTAACACACACAAAAAAAATATTTAGTCACTCCTTTGCAGATGTCATGATTTTATTTACTGTACAAAATACTTGAAAGCAATTTTATTTTACCATTTGAAGCCCGTTTAGAACAAGGCTTGAAAATAAAACATATATACAAAATTCTTTATATTTACTACATATAGTTAAAAATCTTTTCGCAGATTTTACAACTCTACAAACTTGCATAATATTAAATCTTTACAAAGCATTATATTTTCTGCTACTTAAAAGTTTGTACAAATCATTTTAAAAAATTGCTTTTCTTTTGGTAACACTTCAAGGTGCAAAATAATGTCCAACAATGATAAATTGTGATTTACAAGAGCTGTAAAGAAGGCACTTTTGTTTGTTTGTTGTAAAGCACAAAGATACACAATGGGCTATCTATACCGTACTCGCCATGGGTATTGATGCCCAGTTTTTAGCAATTATAAGCCTCTACACTTACTGCTGAGCAACTGGGGAGGAGGGGGGTCAAAGAAGGCACGAGTAATAAAAAGGGTATAAACTCATTTTCTAATTTGTCTCGTACCTTTTCATGAGGCCATTCTGTTCTTATACATCTTAAATTGAATATTTTTATCCACACTTTATCAGGGAAAGACATTAAAAGTATGTAAGGTGGACTTTAACGAACTTATCCCAACACTTCTAAAGTTAACAATTGGGAGTGAGCTAAGCTATAACAACACTGAAAAATAAAACAAATAAAAAGTCACTTTTCTATTGCATCATCCTAAGATATCTTGTTTCCTCCATCAGTGAGTTTAAGGTGGAACTCATGTCATTGATGATCATATTGGATGTTGCTTGTAGAGGTGATTGAGATTTATCATTAGTATAACCTACAGTTAAGCTACTTACTCCAGGTTGAGCATAATTAGAATTCTTAATAGTATGTTTCATGTTTGTGTTTGGAATGTTTGTACATGACTTATTTTTGACTGGTGCATTCTCCTTAGACAGCTTAGTTTCTTGTCTATCAGTTGTACTGGTAACCTTGGGAGAAAGTTCCACTTGCTGCCATGGATCCAGTCCAGATTGCAATGTCGGACCATTCCTGGTAGTGCTTCTCGAATTAGTTTTGTTGGATGCTATCTGCTGACATTGTTGAACATATTCTAATGTTCGTTGGTATGCTTCTGGCTGCATGGCAGTTCTTGAGGATTGGCTGATATCTTGACATTGAACTTCAGACTGAGAGTTGGGACAGCTATTGCACGTTGATCCTGGTGATGGGTATGATTGTTGAGGTTTATGCAATGATTGAATTTTACCACTAGGAGATGGTATAGGTTGCTGAGATTGATATACAGATGATACTTTAGAACCATAAGGTAAATTCTGCTGTACTTGATGTACAGGTGTTGCGTTAGAAGCAGGCATAGAACAATAATGTTGGGAAGCTGTTTCTGTGGGAGCTGTTAATGGATAAGGCTGATAAGCTTGTTGTGTAGGAGGTCCATTTACACCATGTAAAAGGTAATGTTGTGGAGTTTGAGAATATGACTGAGACTGTTGTTGTTGTTGTTGGATGTGATGAGGATAGTTTTGGGCTTGTTGTTCAAGGGATAGTTTAGGCTGTTGAGCAACAGGTTCTTGAAGATTATTAGGGTGTTGCTGAAGTTGTGGGAAAGGATGGTGGTTTTGTAGCTGATGTGGAGGAATCCATGAAGAGTTAGTACAAGAAGGAGAATGTTGAATGTGAGGATTAGATGTTTGATAATTAGTAAGGGGAAGTGCAGCAGGTGCTTGTAAGTTGGGTCCTGTTTGTGAGGAAGAAAATGGAGTTTCTGTATGATTTTGAGGGAAAGATGCTTGAGAATTGGACTCTGTTATGATATGAGAATATGATGTTTGAAAGTTAGACCTTGTTTGAGGGTTGGTAACTTGATGATGTAATGTGGGATTAAGGTTTACAGCTTGGCAGAGCTGCTGATGTTTTGGAAATGACTCTGAATTAGTATTAGAAAGTTTGTAAGAATGTCCAACTGGTAAAACACTGGATTGGGAAGGTGTGTGCTCATACGATGGGTGAACAGATACCTGGCTGGAGTCTGGATTGTAACACATTTGTCCTCCAGATGTATTACGCATTTGGCTGTGATAACAAGGATGTGACTGCTGTGGTGCAGACATATTACATGTTTGGTTATGATAACTTGGATGTGGCTTTTGGGTAGAGTTTATAGCACCAAGAGAAAGAGAAGCTGAAAATGTTTCAGCAACACAGTGTGTTTCTTGTGCTATATTGCTCAATGCCATTTGAGGTATTACACAGTGAGTTGATCTTGGACATGACTTTGTATCCATTGGGGTTGATGGGTACCACTGTTTGTTTTTAGCATTATCTATGGATTTATCTTGTAAAGTTTCACATTGTTGTTGGGACTGTTGTTGGTCTACCAAGTAGTTCTGTTCAGTATTTCCAAGATTTGGATGGTAATTGAACCTTGTGGATGTATAGGTATTGTCACTGTGGCCTGAAGATAAACAATGTTTTTGGTGACAAGGGTACTGAAACTGTTTGTTACTTTCCATTATTGAATGTTGGCAATTATCCTTGTGTGTGGGGGTGTTTTGATATTGGTCCCAACTGTGGTGGTACTTATGAGCTGCTCCCCAGCAAGAGGTATTTAAGTGAGCCTGACCTTGATTCTTAGAAAGTTGATGGTTTCCAGAATTTATCTGTTGAAACGTGTTTGTTTGTTGATGGTATTGAGGATTTGACTGGTAGGGTCTAAAGTTACATGTTGGTGCACTGGCAACTGACTGATTCATGAAATTATTTGTAGTGTTCATGGAATGGTTTCCAAATTTACAACTGAAAGATGGGGCAACACCATTGCTTTGTTCTATACATGCTATCCTAGCAGACTGCCTCTGAAGTTCATCATATTGGCTTACACTAGACACTGCCTGACTCAGTTGAGACTGTGGTCTTACCACCTGAGTGTTGGTTTGTTGTTCAATGACACCTTCATTAAGGTAGTGCATCATTTCATCAGGAAGAACTAATTCCTTGTTTGCTTCAATGGGTTTGTCTACTTCTAAGTTTTCTAAAACCACATCCTGGTTTGGATGATGACTTCCACTATGGCTGCTTGAACCACCAGGAGTTTTGGGTCGGTTTGACTGACCTATTGGTGGTAATGGTGTAAATTTGTTTAAACTATTTACACCTTGAGGTTGACGAGTCTGTCTAGCAGTCTCTTCTTTAGGTTCAAAAGGTCTTAAAACAACATTTGATTGATGTTCCTCGGATATTGGTCTGTGACTTGTTACAGCCACTTGTCTGGAGACATTTCTTGCTTCTACAGCCATGTTTTGACTGTGTCGTTGCACTATAAGATTTCCTGTATTGTTCAAGTGCTGTGAAGGCAGTGTTTGAGAATGAAGTTCTAGTTGTGTTGTCATTCCAGCTGACAATCCTGAGAGGCTACTGACCCCACTAGTTCTTTGCGAGCTGCATACGGAAGCTGCCTCACTTAGTATCTGATCATTAATCATGCCATGAGACACTCCTGAAAACTGACTACCTTGAGTGCTAGAAATATCACTGCTTTTAGTGTTGAGTTTGTTGTCTGAACACATGCTGCCATAAAAAGAGCTGATGGTACTACTGCTAGAGCTATTTCTGCGGCAACCTGTTTGTGAGAGTTTAGAACCTAAAGAAAAAAAGAAAATAAAGAACTATATTTAATTTGTCATTATTACATTTATATAGCTACTCAACTCAATAGTCCAATTATTTTTATTAGAAATTATTGTGGTGTTCTGGAGACTTAAATACAGAAGATTAATCACACTATGTTAGATCAATGTTCCAAGTCCTCTGCAATTTTTTAAATTACATCCTCCAGTGTAGGGTTAAAATTCATATGGAATGCTCCTAACTTTTCTTGATTGATTGTTTGTTTGTTATTAAGCACAAAGCTACACAATGGGGTATCTGTGCTCTACCCACCATGAGTACTGAAACCTGGTTTCTAGCATTGTAAGTCTGCAGACATACTGCTATGACACTGTGGGGGCAACTTTTCTTGAATAGGATGACATTTTGATCTGTATGTTGAAATTCTGGTTTTCTTGCCCACATTTCTAAAAAAAAAACAACTATTGATATCAAAATGCAGTTGGATGTTTGTGAACTTGTTTGACTTGTGAGCCTTCAAGTCCTTGTTTATTATCTTGTGAATGGTACAATGGTACCAGGAAGTATGCCTAGCCTTACTGTATTGTTTTTTCTTCTTGTGTTTTAGTCAGAGGGTTTTTTTCTTCTTAAATATAGCCTTCACTTTGGGTTTTCTTTGGCATTGCTGTTGACTAATTTGGGTTGTGGTTTTAAAGCTTGTTGCTGTCCTACATGTCCTATTGATTGTATTCTTCCACTGGTTCATGTAACTATATAAAATACCTTCCTCAGAATATGCTCTAACAGTTTGCTACAGTGTGGAACTATAACTAGGTATAATGTGGGTCTGTCATGGACCACAAAATTTTCATTTAAATTTATCCTTTCAGAATGTATTTTCAGTCTTTTTCAACATTGTTGAAGTGCAAGTGTTCCACAACTGACAAACTTCTGCCAGGTAATACTCACTGCCATCTAATGAGCAATTCAATAAAATGAAACTTTACTGTCAAACTTTCTCATTTTAGGTCACACTTTATATGAAAATATGATATCTAATATTTAAAAAAAATTGTGTTGTTTATTAACCGATGGATTATTAGTTACTCTTTCATTCTTATTTTGATAATAGAACACATAGTTAGATTTAAAACCAGTCAATAAGATGGCAGCCTTGTAACTAATTAAGGGGTTTAGTCAGTAAAATTGGCTTGGCATTTTGAAAGGACTTTGTTGTAACATGGTCACACATATAACAAAATCTCATGATATGGACCCCGTGGACTGCGTCATTGCAGGGCTCGAGTGTACATACATAATTTTGCATCTTATATAAACAAATGATTTTCTTGTTCTTCTCCAGTTCATTTTCCCTATAGAGACATGGTGTGTAAAGAGCTTCTATTTGTTAATCCTGTGCCATCGATTTAAGTGCAAAATTTTTTATTGATGATGATGGTAACAGCTGAGAGTCTTTTGGACAGTGAGTATTAACTATTACCTACATATTTATTAAAAACATCCTAACTAGACAAAATGATATATCTTCTAATCATAAATAATGACCATGTTTCTCCAATACATTTAGGATTTCATGATTATGGTTTTTAAGGTGTGTAATCCTCATTGTTGTTGTCCTTGATGCATAAGAAAAACAAATATAAATATATACTATGATTTTTCTTACATTAAATATATAATTAAAGTTTAAATTAATTTCCTTACATTAATTGGAATTCATAGTAAATTGTTAAAAATAAAATGATAAAAAGTCAAGTAAAAATTATCTGAAATATTTACAAACTGACATAAATACTGACTTGGGTTTTTAAAGGACGAATCTGTGAGAGTTTTTGTTGCATGGCCTGTATGTCGAACATCTGGTAGTTTAGTCATTCCTCCATGTACACTACCTTTCTTACATCCTTGTAAATTCTGGACATCTTTTGAAAAGAATATATAACATTAGAATAAAATATAAACACAGCTTATAGCACTGATATACATAGATAAAAAAAATGTGTAAGGTTAATAACCATAAATTTTGGGACAACTTATTACTAAAATTTTATCCTAGGAATTAAGAATTTACTAAAACATTTATTTAAAAACAGATAATATGCTTAACTCCTTTGAGTTTCAATTTAATATATTAAGTACTGTTTTACATTGGTTACGTTTTCTTTATACTCTCTCAAATCTACATTTTAAAAGCTGCTTTTCATGTGAATATAAGAAATATTTTTGCAACTAACCACCTCTTGGTGGAAGGACATTTGGTAACCATGAGCCTCCAGGTTTGAAATGTGATTGAAATTTGCTTTTTAATCTGTTGTGAACGTTCCTCTCTACTTCTCTGTTCTGATTATTTGGTGCCACAGCACATGCAACACCAGGTACAATTTCCTCAACCTACAACAGAGTAAAATATAAACAAAAAAATATTAACATCTGAGCTATCCTCCATGTGTCATGGACATTTTCCAGAAATGAAATGAGTTATATTCTGGAATACACTTCAGTTGCATATATAATATGATACATTTATTTCACTGAAAAAAAATGAAAACATGCTTTATTTGACTATACTGTATTTTACTATTCATGTATTTTTACTAATAGGCTTTCAGAAAATTTACATTTTTACTAATTGGAAAAACAAAAGATGTTGTTAAGCCAGGAACTGAAAATATAAAACCAAAAGTTTTACGAAACATTACAGGAAATTAGAAGAAAATATTAAATGATAGTTTGTAATCTATAAACTGTGTATATGCTTTGTTTTATCAGTGTTAAATCTAATAATTATAAGTAACATAAAATTATGAAAAAAAAACACACAAAAATACAAAGAAAATATGTCATTTTTAGTTGGATTCTCACTGGAATTTCAGGATTTTCCACTAATTCCCAGAAGTTTTCAGCTTCTACACAACCACTTGTTGTAGATACACTGTTGTCACTAATAGGGCCTTCAAAAAGAGCCTGATCTGTACAGCCTGGCATCTCATGGCCCACATCACCTCCTGGACTTCCATCTTGTTGGGGAGAGCCCTGTTCCTAGGTATAAACAAAAAAATGAAACAGAATATGAAACTGAAAAAAAAAAACACTGAATTATCCATCTTGTTAGGAATTCTGTTTCCTAAGACAATTTTGAGTCTACATCATGATTGGAATGTTTTTTGTCTTTATACGCTACTTTTTAACATGCAACATATGAGCCAAGAGGTGTCTTTTTACTATGGGGTTTTTGGTTACCAAAAATTTTCCAATGCCAAAACTGCTAAAAACCATGTATTTAGATGTATCTTGAACCATCTTTTTTTTCTTTTCTTTCTTTTTTTTTTACAAAAATTTAATAAATAATTCAAACATTATGGCACTTTGTTTCTAAGTGGGTGTGCATAGTAAAGCACATAAGCATGATAATACAATTACTATGGGATGGTAGCGGTTTGACTCTTCTTCTTTTGCTGTGACCACATCCGAGAAACTAATGATTTCAGTTGATCATTTCTTGGGAAATCGTCATTGCAAATGTCATCTTTATGCCACAATATTAGCTCACAGACTGCATTTTTAGGTGTAATAGTGTAGTTTGATTGATACACAATGGACATCTATGTGTCTCTGTAAGATTGCTGTATTCCTCTGGAAGAAGTAATGTTAAGGTACCATGTTTTTTGTACTCCACTGTCAGGGCTGTGATACGTTGACAAATCTCTGGTATATTGAATCGATCAGGATATGTAGATTGCACTTCTTCAAGCATTCTTCTGGTGCCCATTTTATTTCACTTATCCTTGACATCTTTGTTGAACATTTCAATAACATCATCCTTGAATTGATCTGTACACTTTTTGTCATAAATTTTACCGAGTGATGGACGTAAGGCCCAACAAAGAGTAAATTACAAAGGAGCTGGGATTCAATTTACTTCTCGTGTCCATTTCTGAATTACCAGAGGATACATTGGCTGCTTCCCACCATGTTTTTGAGATATTTTTGTTGCAGAGGATAATCTGTCACATGAACAACCACAATGGCTGTGTTTGAAGCATATTCCACAATGTGGATGCTTGAATTTGCATGTTAAATGCTCCATGTTTTTCTTGACCTGGCCATCTACAGAATCATCACATCAGTTCAGTAAAAGTAGTGCTAAATAGCCACATTTCGACCAATGAGAATTATCACAAAGTTATAGCAAAAAATAAAGGCCACAATGGTTTAGCATTTCTTGATCAACAACAAAGACTCCCCTTGGCTAATATGATGCATATTAATTTTTTAATTCCTTTTCATCAACTGGGCATCAAAGTTTACTCTTACTTAGCAAGGACAGGAAATTAATTTTTCTGTTTAAAAAAAAAGAGATTTTTCAGAATACTTTATACTGATACTTTTGTGTGGGTCTATGTCATTAGTTTCTTTGATTTTTTTCATATTTTTTCAGAAGCAACTGATAAAAAATAGTGTGCTTAAAGTAATCTCAAACCTCATGAAGACTTAAAAATAGTTAAAAAATTTTTGATTTGTTTGTTTTTAGAGCAAAATAACATTGGGTTATATACTGTGTCCACCGTGGGGTATCAAATCCCAGATTTTAGTGTTGTAAATCTGTAAAGTTATTGCTGTGTAAATGGGGAGAAAAAGTCCTTAAAAGCTAAGTTATAATACAAATTTGCATGGAGTTTATTCAACATGAATACTTGAAATTGTTTGCCCTTTAGAAAATAATAATTTTGTTAAAAGCTATTTCAACCATCAGAGTTTCTTTTATTCTTACCTCAGATTTAATACTAGGACTTGACAAACTGGTTAATTTACTTCCTGTGCCATCATCAGAATGAGGACTGCCATCAATGCTCCCAGGGGTAGTTTTATCTTTAATTCCAGCACCTCCTGAACCCCTGCTATCATTTCCTTTATGCTTCTTACTAGCATAAAACTCTGGGCCATGAACAGTCTTAACATGTTTCCTGAGTGAGCTAGGGTCAGTGTAACGTTTAGTACAACCTGGAGCTTTACATACATATGGTTTCTGAAAAATAAACAAAATATACAAATATTTTTATATACTCTCTTCTTCTAAATACATTCTTTATAATGTTGATGAAAATACATCATGAATTGGTTTTTATATGTTTGTTTGATAGTAAACACAAAGCTATACAATGTGCTTTCTGTGCTTTGCCAATTCACATACTGAAACTCAATTTTTAGAAATAAAGATAAACCCTCAGACTTACCACTGATTCATCAGTAAAAAATGTGAGGAATTTTTAAATATCTTTATTTAATATAATTAAAATTTGTAAATACTTGCTATATATTGCTCCAGGTGGGTCAGTAGAAAGTCGGATGGCTTATAATAAAAACAATTGGGTTTTAATACCCATAGTGGGCAGAGCAAAGACAATTCAATTGTAGTTTTGTGCTTATACCCAATTCGATTTTATTACTCATCAGGATCTTTACCAGCCTACCCTCAAACTGAAACCCATTTAGGCAGGATTAGAGTAAATTAATCTACGAGACCTTGGGAGTGATCAAATATACCAATCAAAAAGGTTTGATCTTCTGAATCCAAAACTGTAATTAGATCTCAAATTGGTCAAGATATGACAGAACTATGAGCTAAAAGTTTGTACTTGAAAAATTCAGAACCATTCTATGAGCCGCTACGCTACAGCTAAAAATTGGTAAATTAGAACTTGATAATGTCAGTTTTCATGGTGGTAGGGATATATGAACATCCTGAATTTCTAGTCTTAAGTTGTGGTGGAATGGAATGTATCAAAACTACATTTTGACATTGTTTATGGGAGAAAGCAGAGGGTTGTTATAAATGGAGTTCAATCAACCTAGATTAATGTCACAAGTGGTGTATCTCAGAGCTCAGTGTTAGGGCCTCTGTTCTTATTTCATTTATATAAGTGACACAGATGAAGAAATGGTTCATAAATTACTTAAATTTGCTAATAATATTAAAATTTTTGGCACTGCTGGCTGTGAGGAGGATGCTGCTGCTTTACAAAATGACTTGGATTATTTGTTGAGTTGAAAGAATAATGGCAGATGGCTTTTAATTTTGATGGGAATAACATGTTATGGAAGAAAATGATCTTGCTGTTCTGATTAATCTGTCTCTTAAGTTATCCAAGCAGTATGTTGTTACTAGCGGCAGGGCAAATTTGATTTTAGGTTTTATCAACAGAAATATTGAACACAAGTCTCAAGGGATTATAATTTCATTGCATAGGCTACTGATAAGCAAGATTTGGAGTATTGTATTCAGTCTTGGGCTCCTTACCTTAGAAAAGACAATGAAATGTTGATAAAGATTCAGAGGAGAGCTACTAGGATCATACTTGAGATGGAAAATTTGTGATGTGAAGACAGGCTAAAACCTCTGAAAGTGTATTCTCTTGATAAAAAAAGATTTAAAGAGAATCTGAATAAAGTGTTTAAGATTGTTAAGGGATATTGTTGATGCATTATCAGTTTTTTCTTACTTAATGGTGAAAATGTTAGGACTGTGAGATACAAATATACATTTTTGGAGGGGAGGAGCCATCTTCAGCCAAGATAGTTTTATTTTTCTAACAGAGTGGTTGGCCTTTGAAATATGGTCCTTCAGAAGTGGTGGGTGCAGTAAATATAAGGAATTTTAATGGGAAGACTTGGTACATATTTGAATGATAAGAGCTGGCTTTGAGTATTTTATTTTTTATTTCAAAGTTAGTGGATAAGATGACTTTGATGGACCAATAGGTATTTTGTTGTCATTAAAATTTATGTTGTGCTATGTTAAGTGCTTTTTTAAGCTTAGTGCCTTTTTCTTACCTCATTTGAATGGGTCCTGTTTTGATGTTTAGCTCGATCTGATGCATTACTGAAAGCTTTAGTGCAACCTGGAAACTCACACATGTAAGGCTTCTCTCCAGTATGTGAACGCAAATGAGTCTTAAGATTCTCTAATCGAGAGTAGGCTTTACTACAACCCTCAAACTGAAATAAATCAAGAAAAAAAAACAGAATTACTCCAATGGTTTATTGATCATTTTTATAATAATAACTGTAGTAGATGAGTAATTATAAGGTAATTGTAGAATTGTTAAGTCTATAACATCTTATGCTAATAAGAAAACTTATAATATGTGACTTTAATAGGTTGCAAAATGAAATATAAGCCAAGTTATTCAAACAGTTATAGTACTAATTATTTAAGAAAACCATATAGTCTAATACCATCTATGGTAAATTCCCAATACTATATAAACAAACCAGTAGGTTTAATGTATAATTCCTGAATTATTTTTTTCAGAATTAAAGAATATTACTCTCATTTAAGTATGATTATTAAATATGATGTTTTTCAAACTACTGCAAACTCAAGCAAATACAAAATGCCATTCATGACACAATACATTTTAAGTAAATATTATCTTTAACAGAAAAATATGAAACATTTTAGGAGTTTCAATTTGCAGTAAGTAGAATAAGGTATAAAGTACAAATTGAAACTTTTTAAGCACATCATTTTTTTATAGTTAAGTGGTTAAATACTTTACTTAACTAATTAATATATGAAATGGTATTGAGAATCATCTTTTGATTTCTAACCCTCATATCAGGTATTCGTAATTGTCATTAGTACAAGTTTGTTTTGAATTTTGCACAAAGCTACACGAGGGCTATCTGCACTAGCTTCCCTAATTTAGCAATGTAAGACTAGAGAGAAGGCAGCTAGTCATCATAACCCACTGCCAACACTTGGGTTACTCTTTTACCAATGAATAGTGGAACTGACCATCACATTATAATGCCCCCATGGCTGAAAGGGCAATCATATTTGGTGGGACGGGGATTTGAATCCGTGACCCGCAGATTGCGAGTCGAGCTCCCTAACCACCTGGTCATGCCAGGCCATTAGTATAAGTAATAATTCATTTTTATTTTATTTTATTTGTGTTATTATGTATAACTATAAATATTATTTTTAAGGGAATCATAGCAGTTGACTTACTTTTGTAAATGTCTATATCTAAGTTTTGCTAAGGAAACATTTAAGCCAAAATGGTTTGTCTAAAAGGTGAGTACATGAATTTATCTACTAAAATTATGTCATAAGAGCCATAGCAAAGAAATGATAAGAAGAGTTAGAAGCAGGCCAACTGAGATGGCAGGAAGGCCAGGGGTGTTTTTCTGGTACCCCTGCCCACCATATGGCCCATAAGACAGTAAACAAAAATGTTTAAAGAATGGATAAAAATTAGTATAGAACATTTAAGAAAACATTAACCACAACTTAAATCACTTAATACGGGTACATGGTATCCTTCCAAGAACTATTTGGGGTCATTCTACATACAGGGATGGCTCTCAGCAGTCCTGATTAGAGGCAACTGATATTGGAGTCTGTCTCATGAATGTCTACATCCATCTTGATTTATCATCAACCTTGGTGATTGCAAAAGTGACCCATCTCTTCATCTTGTCTGAAGCTAGTTAGTTGCTTATCTTTCCAAAGATGTAAAAAATTTAGTTGTGTACAAGTAAAAAAATGTGAATCAGTTTGTATGGAACTTGTTATAACTGTATGTAGCCTCATGATCTTTGTTGCTAACAAACAAAATACAATGATAATGGTTTCATAAAAAGGTAAAAAAAAAGGTGTACACACTGAAAGAAAAACTTTTCAGATCAGTTACACCTAACAGTTAAACACTGTAAAACACATATAATGCTAGTTATTAGTAGGATACTTACAGTACACTTGTGAGGTTTTTCTCCTGTGTGACGACGCATGTGTACAACTAGCATGTACTGAGCCTTAAATGGTTTTTCTTCTCTTGAACAATCTTTCCACTGACATACAAACGATTTTTTGCTGTCATGGATGTGGTCATTATTCAGATGCTAGTATTGTAAAATAGAATCAATATTAAAACATTACCATACAGTTTATTAAAACTTAAAAACTTGGTACTAACCTAATTTGAACAAAATATGCTATTATGTAGTGATGGACTGTACTGGACCTATAATGTAACCTGTGAATTATAAGTTTAATACTAAAAGCTGATCACAACAGTGTTACAATTATGTTGCTCTTACCCACTCAAATTTTCCTTAATACTAATTAAACACCATTAAAATAGCATTTGAATAAATTATGCATTTCTTGGGATATTTGCTTTTAAAATCTGTAATTATTGTAGGTGAAATAAAACTGAATTATATAATTTACATC